GTTTGCCGCCCGCCAGCGGGGTTGCGCCCGCGCGCCCGCCAGAGGGAGTTGCACCCGCCAGGGGGTTGCGCCCGCAAGGGGGGTTGAACCCGCCAGGGGGGTTGCTCCCGCCAGGGGGGTTGCACCCGCCAGGGGGGTTGCGCCCGCCAGGGGTGTTGCACCCGCCAGGGGGGTTGCGCCCGCCAGGGGGGTTGCACCCGCCAGGGGGGTTGCACCCGCCAGGGGGGTTGCGCCCGCCAGGGGGGTTGCACCCGCCAGGGGGGTTGCGCCGGCCAGGGGGGTTGCGCCCGCCAGGGGGGTTGCACCCGCCAGGGGGGTCGCGCCCGCCAGGGGAGTCGCACCCGCGAGGGGGGTTGCACCCGCGAGGGGGGTCGCACCCGCCAGGGGGGTCACAGCCCGCGAGGGGGGTCGCGCCCGCCAGGGGGGTCGCAGCCCGCCAGGGGGGTCGCAGCCCGCCAGAGGGGTTCGGTTCGGTTCCCGTCGGTTCGGTTCAGGGGCCGCCCGGTTCCGGTTCGATTCCGGTTTTGGTTCGGTTCGGTCCTCGCCGGTTCGGTTCTGAATGAATTCGGTTCGGTCCGGTTCGGTGTTCTACGTTCCTGGTTTTGGACCGGTTCGGTCCGGTTCGGTCACGGTTCTCGGTTCTCGGTTCGGTGCGGTCCCTTCATGCTCTTCATAGGCCTCTACAAGATTCATTCCGAATGAGGGGAATGTCCAATTAGGTGGCAGCCGTGTGAAAATCTTGAACCGTGCCAAAACACCATCCTTAGGATTTGAGAGCCACGAGTCATCCTCACTGTTGCGCCGTGGCGACCTTGAATCGTGCCAGAACACCAGTCCTGGGATTTCATTTCCGCGAATCAACGTAACTGCTGCGCCCTGGCAGTCTTCAATCGTTACACAACGCACTTTCTGGTACGTGAACCATGTGAAACAGGGAGAATATTGCAGATGTTCACAACGAGTGCACTCGACGCTTAGGCGAGAGTCACATGCTGTAAACGACCCGCCCTCAATTGGCTAAGCTCTTTCAAAGTGTTGGAACGAGTGTGCCCGGCGCTCACGCGTGAGCCACATTTTGAAAACGGCCCGCCTTCAACCCGTGAAACCCTTGCAGAGATTTCAAACGAATGCGCGCGGCGCTAAGGCGAGAGCCACATTTTGAAGACGGCCCGCCCTCAATCCGTGAAGCTCCTCCAACTTTTTAGAATCAATGCGCACGGCGCGGCGAGAACCACATGTTGAAAGCGACCCGCCCTCAATTCGTGAAGCTCTTCACAATGCTTGAAACAAAGTGCGCGGCGCTGAGGCGAGAGCCCCATCTTGAAAAAGGCCCGCACTCAATTCGACAAGTTCTTGCACTGTTTTAAACGAATGTGCGCGTCGCTAATCGAGAGCCACATCTGGAAGCGACCCGCCCTCGATATGTGAAGCTGCCGTCAGTTTTCGGCTGCAGGCTCATACATGGTAGGGAACTCTCGGGCGACACGCCCGGCCAACCCTTCCGATTGGCGTCGGGGTGCGACAGGGGGATGTTCTTCAGAAGGATTGGAGGAGGAGGAGGAGGAGGAGGAGGAGGGAGGAGTGAGGAGGAGGAGGCAGGAGGAGGAGGAGGAGGGGAGGAGGGGGGAGGAGGAGGAGGAGGAGAGAAGAAGGAGGATGAGGCAGGAGAAGAGGAGGAAAGGAGGAGAAGGAAGGAGGGAGGGAAGAGGAGGAGGAGGAGAGGATGGAGGAGGAGGAGGGGGGCGAGGAGGAGGAGAAAGGAGGAGGAGGAGGGGGAGGGGGAGGGGGAGGCGGGGGCAAAGGAGGGCGATCCCGCCCTCCTGCCCCCTTCCCTGGTGGCGAAGCGGCTTCGGTCGGCGCGTGGTGCCCGAGAGCAGGGGAGGAGGCAGCCTGGAGACAGTCTTTCAATTGCCCGGCGACCACGTGCGTGACCCCGGGGGGGGGGGGGGGACGGGAGGGGTCGGGAGCCCTGAGACGGGGGCCAATACAGGTCAGACCGCCGGATCTTGCAGGATCCTGCAGGGCCAGGGGTGCACTGGCCCAGGCTTGCGCGCAGGATCTTGCGGGATCCTGCACGGTCTTGCAGGGTCCTGCAGAGCCTGACGGACCTGGGTTTGCACCGACATGGGTGAGTACGTCCCCGAAGGGGGAGGTCACCACCCACCAACCCACCCCAACCCAACCCGCAGGCCCCGATTTGCCCTCCATTTCCAGTAGGGGGGGGTCTGGGAACAGTGAAAAAAACACATATGGAACCCGTACCCCCCCCAACCCGAAATTCGCGTCTTCGGGTTGGGTTGGGGTGGTCTGGTAGGTAGTCAGGAGGGGGCCTGTCACGTCACGATTCGCGCCCGCGCCGTCTTGCGCTCCCAGCCCACGCCTCCAGCCCCCCTGGAGGCGGAGCGGCCTCGGCGCGCGCCCGAGTCTAAGGGAGGAGGCGGCGGAGGAGGAGGAGGAGGAGGAGGAGGAGGAGGACTGGGACGACACCGAAGGCACGAACGAACGAAGGGACGAACAAACGACGGGCGACGACGATGGCGTCCACGACAGCTTCAGTCACAAGAGGAAAAGTACCCATACTGCTACCCTTCCCTCGTTCTCCCTTGTTCGGGCCTCCTGGGAGGCCCTCGTCGCCACCGCTGGATCCGCCCCGAAATTCTGGTCAGAACGCACTCCGGGAGAGATCCAGGGAGTACCGGTATGGGTACCTCTTGTTTTCAGAGTCGCCTTGTATCGGTTCCGGACTTCCCTGGCAATGCGAGGGTTCAGGGATGCCCCCAAGCCTCCCCACAAGGGGCCCGAGATGGGCCCAGATGTTTCCCAGACGGCCCAGGCGAGCGCCGAAAGGGCCCCAGCAGGACCCGAAGATACCCACGAGACGGCCTCGACTTTGCTCGAGACCTCCACCGGCCCCCCGGGCTTCGTCGCGTCGCTCAACAATCACTGCGGCAGCCAGGATGAGAAGATGGCGCCGGGAAAGCGAGGTCCAGGCTTCTGGGTGTCCACGTACAGCAAACAGCACACACGACGTCGGGGGTCTGTCCCATGCGTGCCTGGTTTAGCCCGTGGGCCAGGCGACGCGTCGAGGGGCGGAGGGCGGTCGGCACAGTCCCGAATCAGTGGGAGTGGACTTGCGAAGCCCCAGTGAGCGTTTGGATTCATGTCCGACGTGCCACAGAAGTGCGGTTCGCTCCAGCGGCGCACTCTGAATTTGCGACGAATGAGGTGCGTTTCGCGCTGTCAGTTTCAGTTGTGTTTCGGGGGAGGTCGTGGTTGAATGGTGCCGGCCGCAGTTCCTGAGGCTTCCCATTGTCTTGGGGTCGTGGCCGGTGTCGTTGGTCCTCTCTCGCCCGATTACCCCCCCCTCATCTTTCTGTACGCAGCGGGTCCGCCTCGCAAGGGTGCCCATTCAGCCGCTCCAGGGGGGATACCTGTTCCTGCCACCCCAAGGCTTGCTCCTCGGGTGTGCGGGCTTGCGCTTCTGATTGAACCAACGAGCATAAAGAAACATGGAAGAGGGGGGCAGGAGGACGAGGAAGAAAATGAGGGAGCGAAAGAGGGAGGGGGAGAGGGTGGGAGCAAGAGCGGAGGAGGGAGGACAAGGAGGGATGAAGGAAGGAGGGACGGAGAAAGGGGGCGAGGGAGGATGAGGGGGAGGGAGAATGAGCCGTGATCGGAGGGACGGTGGAAGAAGGAGGGACAGAGGAAAAAGAAGGCAGATGGCGAAAGTGGGAGAAGGCTGGCGGCAGATAGGAGGGCTCCGTCAGGAAAGCGAGCTGCAGGGCACTCGAGAACTTGCTCAGAGCGCCTCCTACCAGTGGAAAGGCCCGTTCCTTGCCTCCTCCTCCTCCTCCTCCCGCACACGCGTACCCATGCTTCCCTTCTTTCCGCTCCTTCTTTACCTCCGCCTTCCCGTGCAATTGCCGCCGTTGCTCTTGTCGCTGCCTCATTTGTATGATCTTGCTCCTCCTCCGCCTCCTCCTCCTCCTCCTCCTCCTCTGCGTCATCTCTCCTTCTGGTCCCAAGTCCCGTCACTTGTCTGGCTCAGTCTCTGCTGGTGCCGCGACTGCCTCGTAACCCCTCCCGACCTTGCTCTTCCCGTCGACGCGGGATGGGAAACAAAGGTCCAGATATCTGGAGGTCCACCCCATGAACAAATCACGACGTTGGGGGTATGGGTCCTTTTCCTCAGCCTACCCCCTTCACTCATCTTTGTCATCGTCCTGCTCCTGATGCTGTTCCTCCTTATCGCCGTCCTGCTGTGTAGTCATCCTGCTACTGTCCTTCCTGCTGGCCATCGCCGCTGCTGCTGCACCTCTCCCCATCACCCGTATCGTGGGGAGACCGAAAGGTACCACCGATACTGCCTTTCCTCAGACGTCTCCCGGGGTGCCTTCTGACCCGGATTTCGAGACGAATCCAACCGTCGCTACGAGGGCCTCCCAGGAGGCCCAAGAAGGGCAAAACGAGGGAAGGGTAGCAGAACGGGTATCTTGGCGTCTTGGGACTGACGTTGTTGTGGACGCCGTCGTCATCGTCCGTTGTTCGTCCAGTCCTTCCTGCTTTCGCTCCTCCGGCGCCGTCCCAGGCCGCCACCCCTCCCCTGGACTCGGGCGTGCGCCGACGCCGCTCCGCCTCCAGGGGTGGGCGGGAGGCGGGGCCCAAGGAGGGTAAACGAGGGAAGGGAATCGGGCGTGGGTACCTTTCCGTCCTCCAATCTCGTGGCTGCTTCTCGGCGGCGAGCGAGGGTTGGAAACGGGGAGGAGGAGGCCCTCTCGGGAGGCGGCGGGACTTCTCCGAGGCCCTCGCGCCCTCTGGGAGGTGGGCCGTGCCCTCGGGGAAGGCCCCGGAGGCGTCTCAGCAGGCAGATGGGGGGACTCCCGAGCCCTCCGAGGAGGCCCGCCCCCTCGCCCTCGGGGCGCGGAGGAGGGCAGGGGCGCGGAGGAGCAGGCGTCCAGCAGGGGGGCATGCTGCGGGGGACGGCCCGCCGGCGCGGCCGGCGCGGCGCGCGTGGCCGTGGCAGCTCAGCTCTCCGGGCAGGCCGAGGGTCGGGGTCGATCGCCTCGTGGAGGCGGATTTTCCTTCTGCACGCACGACATGGGTACACCTTAGGCGATGCTTAAGAAAACTTAAGTTTTCGGCCAGAGTCTCGATTATTCTTAACGTTTCAATGTGAATCTTGAGATGTTCATGGAAACGTTGGGTGTTTATTCAAGTTCTGAGACTATGAATTTCTTAACCCATGATTTCTTAAGCATTTCGCAGGGTGCACAGAGAGAACGGGCACAGTGCCCAACAGCAGTTCCTGCTCCTCTTGGGCAGGACTCGCTCTCCGCGCCGCCGCGGCCCGTGTCCATGCGAGGCAGAAGGCCGCCTGCCCCTTCAGCGGCCGCTGTTGGTCTGGGAGAACATGTGTTCTTGGGCATGGTACCCATGCTTTCCGTACCCATTTCGGGCGTCCAAGCTCATGGGGGCGAGTTTCTTGGTGTCACTATTCCTGGAGCGTCACGCAGGATGGCCGGCGGGCTGGGCCGAAGGCCCCATGGGCACAGTTTTGGAAGGGGCCACCAGCTACGGTAGGTTCGCGTCGTGTCGACCGGCGGCGACCCCGCCGCCAGCGTTCAACGTTGAACGCCGCCAGCGACCCAGAATCGGTCGATGTTGAACGATCGGACGTTCCAGAATCGGCCGATCGTTCAAGGTTGAACGATCCCCGCGGTGTCAGAAACCAACGCAGAAGTCGGCACGACACGAACCTGACGTACCGAACCTCCAACACGCCGTGCACCGCTTCGGCAGGCCATAGGGGGCGGCCGAGATGCAGTGGTCTTCGGCCCATCCCGTTACCGCGCCTGGGTTGCAGGTCAAGGGCCTCTTGGATGCCTGCTAGGTTCTCCTGGGAGGTCTCTCTAAAGCCTATCGGCTGTCGTTCGTGGCGCGTATTTACCTAACAGCTCTTGCTGATAGGTTTCTAGTGGTCTCAAAAGAGAGCATCATGACTCCTCAGGGGGGTCTGGGCGGGACCCGGACAGGCTGCCGCCGCGGCTGCCGCCGCACTCGTTTTTTGCAAACAGTCACACACTTCGTGCTCTTCGACCTCCCAGAACTCCATTCCCGGGCCACATTCTGAATGCCCTGAGCCAACTGTAGGCCACTTCGTGCTCATCGACGTCCCAGAACTCCATTCCCGGGCCACATTTTGAATGCCCGGAGCCAACTGTAGGCCACTTCGTGCTCTTCGAGTTCCCAGAACTCCATTCCCGGGCCACATTTTGAATGCACGGAGCCAACTGTAGGCCACTTCGTGCTCTTCGAGTTCCCAGAAACTTCCGCTTCCCTGGGGGGGTGGGTCGGGGCCATGCATTTGAAGGCCCGGAGCCAACTGTAGGCCACTTCGTGTTCTTCGAGTTCCCAGAACTCCGTTCCCGGGCCACATTTTGAATGCTGAGGCAGGCTGATGCTGAGGCTGAGGCAGGCTGAGGCTGAGGCAGGCTGAGGCTGCGGCCGAGGCTGAAGGCAGACTGAGGCTGAGGCTGAAGCAGGCTGAGGCTGAGGCTGAGGCAGGCTGAGGCTGAGGCTGAGGCAGGCTGATGCTGAGCAGGCTGAGGCTGAGGCTGAGGCTGATGCAGGCTGAAGCTGGGCAGGCTGAGGCTAGGCCGAGGCTAAGTCAGGACTGAGGCGAGCATAAGCAAGGCTGATGCTGAGGGCTGCATGGCGGCGCAGGCGAGGCAGGCTGAGGCTGAGGATGACTGGCAGGGCTGATGCGTGGAGGCCCTGCTGCTGTGACTGCGACTGCCGTTGCCGCTGCGACTGTCATCGCGAATGCGACTACGACTGCGAGAACAGCAGAATTCTACAACTGGATTTTCATCTGAATCTTAAGGGGAATGCTTTCAGATATGCTTCTACACATCGCTGTTAGGTTGCTTTGCCGGGATAATTTTACCTAACAGCTCTTGCTGATAGGTTTCTAGTGGTCTCAAAAGAGAGCATCATGACTCCTCAGGGGGGTCTGGGCGGGACCCGGACAGGCTGCCGCCGCGGCTGCCGCCGCACTCGTTTTTTGCAAACAGTCACACACTTCGTGCTCTTCGACCTCCCAGAACTCCATTCCCGGGCCACATTCTGAATGCCCGGAGCCAACTGTAGGCCACTTCGTGCTCTTCGACTTCCCAGAACTCCATTCCCGGGCCACATTTTGGATGCCCGGAGCCAACTGTAGGCCACTTCGTGCTCTTCGATTTCCCAGAACTCCATTCCCGGGCCACATTTTGGATGCCCGGAGCCAACTGTAGGCCACTTCGTGCTCTTCAAGTTCCCAGAACTCCATTCCTGGGCATGATTTTGAATGCCCGGAGCCAACTGTAGGCCACTTCGTGTTCTTCGAGTTCCCAGAACTCCATTCCCTGGGCCACATTTTGAATGCTGAGGCAGGCTGATGCTGAGGCTGAGGCAGGCTGAGGCTGAGGCAGGCTGAGGCTGAGGCCGAGGCTGAAGGCAGACTGAGGCTGAGGCTGAAGCAGGCTGAGGCTGAGGCTGAGGCAGGCTGAGGCTGAGGCTGAGGCAGGCTGATGCTGAGGCAGGCTGAGGCTGAGGCTGAGGCTGATGCAGGCTGAGGCTGAGGCAGGCTGAGGCTGAGGCCGAGGCTGAAGGCAGACTGAGGCTGAGGCTGAAGCAGGCTGAGGCTGAGGCTGAGGCAGGCTGAGGCTGAGGCAGGCTGAGGCTGAGGCTGAGGCAGGCTGAGGTTGAGGCTGTGACTGCGAGTGCCGTTGCCGCTGCGACTGTCATCGCGAATGCGACTACGACTGCGAGAACAGCAGAATTCTACAACTGGATTTGCATCTGAATCTTAAGGGGAATGCTTTCAGATATGCTTCTACACATCGCTGTTAGGTTGCTTTGCCGGGATAATGTTTTTTTTTTCGGGGCATCTTGGTGGCATCTTGGGGCCTCTTGGGACCTCGTTTGGCTTCGCCGCTGGGGCTCCTCGGGGTCGGGTCCTCACTGCCTGCTGGTGGTCTCGGGGCCATCTTGGGGCGGAGAGCTCAAAGTGTAAGTTCGTGTTCCCCCTCCTGGACCTGGGTGCCCTCTCGAGGTCCTCTTGGGCCCTCTTGGGGCGATCGCGGGGGCCTCTTGGGCCGTCTTGGAGCGTCGAAGGCTGGAATGGCGAGAACGCTCAAATCTTTCAAACAATCAAGGCGAACATATAGTTTTGGCTTCAGAGGGCCTCCCTGAGGGGGCCTCTTGGAGCCCTCTAGAGTCGTTTTGGGGGCTTCTTGGGCCGTCTCGAAGCCATTTTAGGAATCTTGGAGCCCTCTGGGGCTAACTCCAAGGCCTCCTGGACCGAATAGGGGGGCCCGTTTGGGCCGTCTTGAGGCCTTCTTGTCTCGGAAAAGGTCGTGCAGGAAGGCCCGAGAGCGGCCAGAAGCGACCCGTACTCCAGGCGATGGGCTCCCTCGAGCATCTTCAGGACCTGGGGGCACGGCGGCGGATCCGTGATCGTACCATTCTCACTTCAACAGCCCAAACTGCACAGACTGCCCCTCCTGGAAGTGCGCGACAGACCGTGCCGGTCATCGGCATGTGTCTTGATGGGCCTGTTTTCCACCACCACCACCATAAGTTGGAGGGGGAGGGTGCCCTCCTCCTCCTCCTCCTCCTCCTCCTCTTCGTCCTCCTCCTCTTCGTCCTCCTCCTCGTCCTCCCTCTTCCTCCCTCCAACTTATGGTGGTGGTGGTGGAAAACGCTCCCATCATGTCTTCCACAACCAGTTCCAACAACACCGACTGTCCAACCAGTGAGTGCCGCGCCAGACCTCTCGGGCCATCGGGCATAAGGCCGGGGTCTTCTCCATGGGAGTGACCTTGCGCATCCCCGAGGAGGAGGAGGAGGAGGAGGAGGAGGAGGAGGAGAGGAGGAGGAGGAGCAGTATCGTCTACTCCCCGAGGAGGAGGAGGAGGAGGTCGCAGAGGGAGGCGACGAGGCGAGGCGGAGGAGCCGCCATTTCCTCCCGCCAGTGGAGAGTTAGTGGCCGACCTGAATGATTTCCTTACGTTGGGTTTTCCGATCGCGTCGTGATTTCGTTACCCTTGGGTGGACAGACATGTGTCTGTCTCGATCTGGCGTGGTGATTACGGTGGAACCGACAGCGCTTCTGTGTCATGCGCAGAACCCCTCGCAGCAGGCAGAGACCCTGGGCCGAAAGAGCGAGAGAGCCTCAAGAAGATGATCACAGACATGTTCAGGACAGGCGGCTGACCGCGGTGCGCCTCGTCCGAATGGGTGACACGGCACCGAGCCACCTAATCGATCCACAGTTCAGATCTGGGGCCCACAAACACGCATACACACCGTCCTCAGCACGGACCCTCCCCCTTTTTTGAGGCCAGGTTGAAATCAGATCAGAGCCGAACACACTGTCATCTGTATCGTCACATCGTCTTTCCTTTCATTCTGCGGGTTTACTATTCCCCACGATCCTCTTTGTTTGCCCATGTCTCCATATAATTATTATCTTGAGCTTGCTTCCAACTCCATTCGCTGCCCACTCCGCAAACAACTTGTTCAACATAGACTTGCTCATTATCTGCCGCCTCTCGATGTCCCTTCCTCCTCCGCGTCATGATTTTCCGCACCGCAATCCTGATGATACTTGCCGTCGTTGCCCTTGCCGTCAATGTTCAACTGGCCCTTGCGCTAGCTGTCGTCCTCGCCCTCGCCCCCCTCCTCGCCTCCCCTGCCATCCTCCTGTCCATGATCTTCCCTCTCCTCCCTCCCCCTCTCTCCCGCCCTCGAGCAATCCATCATTCCAGATCGCCCTCACCCTCCCTCCTCGGGCACTTCGACCGCCTCCTCTTCCTCCTCCTCTTCCTCCTCCGCCTCCTCCTTAGGCAGCGTAGTTCTCCTCGGAGTCCTCTACCGCCTCAGGCGCCTGCTCCTGTCGTCATTCGCCACCAGCATCCTCCCCTACGGTGGGGCCTTTGTTAGAGGCTGCGCCTAAGATGTTTCAGACCCTGGCGGATTCCATATCTGTTGAGAGGGGCGGTTACATCCGTGGCCGAGCCTCAGTTGGCGGTCGACCAGTTTGCAGACCCAGGACTCCCTGTCCAATGGTTCCATATGCGGGAGGCGGAGGAGGAGGAGCAGGAGGAGGAGGAGAAGGCGCAGGAGGAGGGGGTTGCCTGAGGAGGCACGGTGAGGGCATTGGATTCGTGATCCAATGTCCTCACCGTGTCACCTCAGGCAGCCTCCTCTTCCTCCTGCCCCTCCCCCTCTCCCTCCGCCTTCTATTCCTCCTCCTCCTCCTCCTCTTCCCCCTCCTCCGTCTCCTTCGCCTTCCTCCTCCTTCTCCTCCTCCTCCTCTCCTCCTCCTCCTCCTTCTCCTCCCGCTCCTCCGTCTCCTTCGCCTCCTCCTCCGCCTCCTCCTCCGCCTCCGCCTCCCTCCGCCTCCTCCTCCTCCTCCTCCTCCTCCTCCTCCTCCCCCTCCCCCACCTCGCGTCGGAAATCTGCTGCCCGCCACGCCGCGGAGCCGCCGTGACCCTCCCGCGGGCTCCTCCTCGGCCCGCGGCCTCTGCGTGGACTTGCGCCCAGCGCGCCCCCCCCGGGCCGCTGGAGCCTCGCGCCCCCAAGGGGCGCTCCGCCGCGCACCGCTTCCCAGCCGGTCCACGTCCTTCCCCGCCCGCTCCCGCGGCCCCGCCTGCCACGCGGGGCAGACGTGGCGGGCTCCAGTACCCCCGCGCGCCCGCACGGACACTCCGCCCGAACTGCTGCGATCTCGCCCTCTTTCTCTCTCTCTCTCTCTCTCTCTTTCTCTCGCCCTCTCTCTCTATCTCTCTCTCTCTCTCTATCGTTGTCTTTCTCTCTTCGTCTCTGTCACTCTGTCTCTCTCTCCCTCTCTCTCTCTCTCTCTCTCCCTATCTCTCCCCGACGAGGAACAAGTACGCCGAGCTCAAGACGAGGCGCGAGGAGTCGGCGGACGCCGGGGGCACCATCCTGCAGCTGGACCAGTACGAGCAGGAACGCCGGCGCTGCCCCGCGCGACCTGGGTTTGGCGGCTCGGGGGGCCTCGAGCGCCCACCGCTGCCACGCCATCTCCGCCGTCGTCGTCGCCCTCGCCCTCCGCGGCCTCTTCCTCGTCCTTCTCGTCCTCGCCCTCCTCCCCACTCTTCGCAGGTTCGTCTCCTCAGTTTCATCGCGAGGGGGGTGCGAGAGTTCTCTGTCTCTCATTCTCTCTGGGTGTCGGGTCCCGTGGCGCAGCCAGGACATGAAGCCCCCAGCATTCCATAGATATCATGGCGACACTGGTCCTGTGGCCTGCACCACAGGACGGATTCGTGCCACATCCTCTTACGTATCCCCGCGCGCTTGAATGGTTCCAGAGAGCCTTCGCCGTGCGCTTGAGATACCGCCGCAAACCATGCAAGCAGGCACGGGCCGCGTAAAGGCAAACTCAACGGATTGACAGGACACCAACGTCAGCCGAAAGGGGACCGAAATTCGCAGCTCTTCAGATCAGTGGGGGCGTCGACCGATCACCTGCTGCTTACAACGACCCTGCTCAGAAGCACCAAACCGGTCTTAACAACAGTTACCGACAATGCCGCTCCAACCACAGTGAGTCCAAGGGAGAGTTGATCGGCGCCACCCCAACATACTTATACTGTATGTGCGTCGCCCCCCCAGGGGCGACGCGCGCACCGAGAAATCTTATAGCATATGCGTCGTGGCGGGCGTTTTCTGGCTATACCGTTCGGGCAACGGTATACTACAATTTGGGTATACTATATGTTCGGGTCGGACGCGCGCCTCCAAGGATAACAGATAGTACTAATATGGCTTTGTGCGTCCCAAGTTGATGAAGCCGTGCGAGAAGAAGCCAACTACAAGCTGTACCACTGTCGGAAGCAAAGGTCGGCCACCAGCCGTCCTGCAGCAGGGCCCACGGCCTCCGCCGACGCCCACCAGAGCAACAGCACCTCTCATCCGCAGTGATGCGCCAGACTGGGAATGAGCGCCAGTGGATCGCCTCGTAATTGAAAAGGGGGGGGTGCTCCCAGAGCCCACCCCCCCTTCCCCCCTTCAAGGGGGGGGGGCATGTTCGGACCCCCCCCCCCTCCTTCAAGGGGAGGGGGGTTCCGGACCCCCACCCCCACCCGTTCGAAAGGGGGGGGGAGGGGTTCGGGACCCTCCCCCCAACCCCCTGGCGCTGGAAACGGGGGGGGGGGGGGGGCGATTTCGGACCTCCCCCCTCCCCCCCTTTGGCCAGGCAAGGGGGGGGGTTAGGGTTTCGGGGCTTGGACTCGAGCTTAGGGTAAGGGTCAAGGATGAGGGTCAGGGTTAGGGGTTAGGGTAGGGTTCAGTTACCCCCTCCCCGCCCGCAAGCCGTCTCGCTCACTCCCACCCGCCCTCCCAACACATACGTAGCACCCGAGTCTGGCCCGAGCCTCAGCATATTCAGCAGTCGTCTTTGGATGGGCTGCTACTGGGGGCCAATCCGCCGCGCCGCCGCGCCTCCGCCGCTGCCGCCGCCGCCGCCCGCCGCCGCTGCCCGCCGCCGCCGCCCGCCGCCGCCGCCGCCGCCGCCGCCGCCCGCCGCCGCCGCCCGCCGCCGCCGCCCGCCGCCGCCGCCGCCGCCGCCGCCGCCGCCGCCGCCGCCGCCGCCGCCGCCGCCGCCGCCCCCCCGCTGCCTGACCGCCGCGCAGCCGCAGCCGCTGCGCCACCGCTGCCGCCGCCGCCGCCGCCGCCGCCGCCGCCCCCCGCCCCCGCCGCCGCCGCCGCCGCAGCCGCCGCCGCCGCCGCCGCCGCAGCCGCCGTCGCCGCCAAGTGTACTCTGTATTGTTTTTTGACAGGGATGGTGGGGGGGGCCGCATCGGGTTGGCTGCGCATGTTCCGAATTTGGAGGCAAAGTGTGTTTTGCATTGTCTTTTGCAAAGGACGGTGTGGGGGTGTCGGCATGGACTCGGGTTGGCCCCCAGTCGCCTGGGGGAGGGGGTGTTTATTAATAGGGAACAGTGATTTAAGGATTAGGATTAGGGTAGGGGTTAGGGTCAGGGATCCGGTTTAGGGTTGGGGGTTGGGGTTAGGCGTAAGGGGTAGGGTTCGGGTTTAGGGTAGGGGCGAGGGTCAAGTTAGCCAGCTCGAACGAGCCAGAGGGCTCCGTCCACTCCCACCCGCCCTCCCACAACATAAGAAGCAAATGCGTCGCGTGCGACGCCCGTCGCTCATCTTATGTCGTGGGCGGCTAGACGTCCAGCGCGTGACACGAGCTGCGTCGTTTTCATGCCGCGCATTGAGTAACGTCGACGAGAAGCAAGACATCGCGCGGTGTGCGCCGCGCCCCGCTGTGGCCTTTCATGTTGCATCGTCGGCGACAACATGTCCAGCGCGCGAAGTGCGCCGCGTCTCATTCCGGCCACGCGTGTTGCACCGCCAATCGTTTTGCTCCTGCCGCGCATGGAGGAGGAGGAGGAGGCGGAAGAGGAGGAGGAGGAGGAGGAGGAGGAGGAGGAGGAGAGGAGGGAGAGAGGGAGGAAGGGAGAAATCCAGGAGGAAGAGGAGAACGTCTCTTGGGAATCCGCGGGTCCCCCCATTCCCTCTTTACGATTCGCAGCGCCGACGACGAGGAAGTACACGCTGGCAAGAAAAGCATCGACGTTGCAGTGCCTGTTGGAAGGTAGGACGGGGGTCCCGCGTAGGCTTGGCCAGGCGTCCGACCGCGATGTGCGCCGCGTCCCATTCCTGCTACACTGCTCGCAGCGACGACGGCTATAATCCATGCTGTCGTGGAAAAGCGTTGACTTTATATTGTTTTTATGGGTAGGACGCGACCACCTGCCTAGCGCTTAGCGTTACCCAAGCGATGTTCATTCCAATTCATTCCTGCAACATTTTTCGCAATTCGACGACACGTTGGCAAGACCATTGAGTTTGTGTTGTGTTGTTGCCTGTTGGGACGGCGGGGGTGCTATCGGCCAGCGTGGGGATGTTGGCGTGTTGAATCATAGGAAGTAAGGATTGGTGCGAGGGTATTCGGGTTTAGGGGTCCGGCTTGAGGTAGGGGCCACGGTAAGTGTTAGGGTAAAGGGGGTTAGGGGTGAGTGTTAGGCTCTAGTGTCGGGGTAAGGGGTAGGGTTAAGGCTTATGGTAGGGGTTAAGCTTAAGGGTTACGGTTAAGGTAGGAGTTAGCGTTAGGATTAGGGGTTAGGGTTAGAGTTTAGGCTTAAGGCTAGGGTTAGGGTTAGAGGATAGAGGTTCGAGGTTAGGAGTGAGGGTTTATGGTTGAGGTTAGGTTCGGGTTAACGTCGGGGTTAGGGTTTGGATTCGGGGTTCGGTCCGGCTTGGGGCAAGGTTTAGGGGTTAAGGCGGGGTTTAGGGTAGAGGTTAGGGTATGGGTAGGGGTTAGGGTAGGGTTGCAGGGTTAGGGTTAGGTCTTAGGGCTGATATTCGGGATTTGGGTTTCGGTTACGGGGTCAGGGTAGATTTCAGGAGTGAGGGTTACGGCATAGGGTTGGGGCTAAGGATTAGGGTTGGGGGTGGGGGTCGGGGTTAGGGGTTCGGTCAGGGTTAGGGTTTAGGGTAGGGGTTAGGGTTAAGGTTAGGGGTCAGGGTAGGGGTTTGGGCAGGGCTGGGGGTTAGGGTTAGGGTATAGGAGGTCGGATTAGGGCTTAGGGTCAGGTTTAGGGATTAGGGTCAGGATTAGGCGTTAGAGTAGGGTTAGGGGTTAGGGTTAGGTCTTAGGGGCAGGGCCAGGGATTAGGGTTAGGGGCCAGGGTTAGGGGTAAGGGGCAGGGTTCTGGTCGGGTAGGGGTTATGGCTAGGATTAGGGAAGGGGCCAGGTATAGGATCAGGGGTTAGGGTAGGCGTTAGGGTTCGGATAGGGGTGAAGGTTTAGTGTTAGGGTATAGGGTAGGGGTCAGGGTCGGGATTCGGTTTTGAATTAGAAGTTTGGGTGGGGTTTTGGGTAGAGATTAAGGCTAGGCGTAGGGTAGAGGTTAGGGTTGGGAGTGGGGGGGTGGGTTGGGTTTTAGGGTTTAGAACAAGGATTAGGTTGAGGGTTAGGTGTGGTAGGGACCGGGTTCCGGAGCCAGGGGGCGGCGTGGCGAAAGGGGGAAAGGGGGGGGTCCGAATTACACGCTCAAAGGGGGGGAAAGGGGGGGGGGGTCCGCCGGCGACGGACCGGGAAAGGGGGGGGGTCCGCTGACGATGGGGCGGGGAGGGGGGGGGGTCCGCCGACGACGGATCGGGGAAAGGGGGGGTGGACCAGCGGCGCGCCTTCCCAAACTGGGGCATCCCCATCGCGCCTCCGCTTCTCAGGGCCGATCGCTGGCTGGACCGCACATACACTAACCCGCCGAGCGTCAAGAGCCATCAGGCGACGACGAAGAGTCGGACGAAAACTTGGATTGGACAAAGAGTGGGGATGGGACAAATCATTGTTAGCATGGCTACCACATACAAGTGTCCAGGAGGTCGCCGATCCAACCTCACACGCCAGGAGCACCCCACAACACCTCGCCGAGCGTCAATAGCCACCCCACCTGTCTACGACAAAGACTGTGGCGAATTCTGAGAAGCATGGTTAGAATTGCTAAGCTACCAAACGACCAGGATATATTTCATCGATCCGACGCTCCGTGGCGCAGCTTCGAAGCGGAGCAGCAGAGGATCGCGGACATTGCGACGAGATTTGAAACCATGGTGAGCAGCTCGAGCGAGGCCCCGTGTCTGTCCACGCTTCGCAAACCAGCCCGAACACAGACCCGAAGGCCGTCCTGTCAACGACCCGTGTCCTACTACCCGCGACAGGGTTTGAGTGTGAACCCCCAGTGCTTGCAGGAGCATGAGCGACTGCGGCACCGACCGAGGTTCCCTGGAATTCCCTGTTCGTTTGCCCTCCTGCTACCTCGGAAAGGGGTAGCAGCCACCAGCGGACCCTGGGCTAAATTGCTTCAGTCACCGCCAGGCCCCACGGGTGCAACCACCCGCGCGGACATGAGCGTGGACCAAGAAGGAGCCGC